GAAGATGAATTCGGATCTCAATTTGCAATTATTCAAATTAGTAACCTAACCTTCCATTCTCCTAGTAACCTAACCTAGTAACTAATCAGGTAACCTAACAGAAACTCCATTTCTTCCATTCTCGTCCTCATCAGTTTATTCATTTATTCAATCTTTTATTTATTCGATTTTTAAGGAATGATGGTTTCGTGAGGAAAAAAAAGAAAACAGAATAAATCGTAGTCTCAGCGGTGGAAGTTGAATTTTAATTATTCAAATCGAAGATCAATAACCCAATTAGATAACCTAGTAACGTAACAGAGGTACCATTTCTTTTCTTCTCTTTTATTCATTCGTTTGCTCGATTTTCGAAAGAACTGCAGCCAAAAAAAGAAAGACAGATGGAAAAGGAAAAAAGGAAGGAAGAAAAGCTAATTTCGACGAGACTTTAATTCAGAGATCGTTCCGGTCGTAAAGAAAGAAAACGCGGGCCATTTCGGAAGGAATGTCCGATTCGCGAGGAAGTTGAAAGCTGTCGTAAGGTGGTCACGGTCGTAAAACCACCGGCAGGTGGCTCGTTAGATTTCCGCCACTCACGTGACATTTCGCGGTGCGTTTAAGATCCATTAGGAGCCGGCCAGATTAACGAGGTAGTAACCAGAGTTCATTTGCCGTGCATTTAATTGACCGTGAATGGCCGCAGACCAGTCTGAATCATCATCAGCAATTCTCTTCGCGTCGTTTCCTGGTCCATTGTCGGCCGTACAATGTCCGGCGGAAGGATCCGGGGAGAACCAAGACGAGACTCGTTCTTTCCGGCCATGTCCCCGTCATTGTTTCGTCAAATTTGAAACAAAGAGTCCTTCATTCTTGAAGATTTATTCGTTCTTTACTCGCTCGTGTTTCACGAGGGGGATCCCTCTTTCAGAAGATAATCGTTTCATCGGGGATCGGACAGGATAATACAGTTTGACGTTGGAAAATTTTCACCTTCGCCTGTGTATTTCGTGATGGACAATTAAGATTAGTATCTTCGTGCACTCGAACTACTTCTCACAAACTGAACTTTTATCATAAACGAACTTCCAATTTTCCTCTTATCAGTCCCCCCCCCCCAAAAAAAGGAAATTCACTAATCGATAATATACTAGAACGAAAGAACTAGAAAGAAATTAGAAAGGAATGTGAGCGAGCATAGCGTCGTCAAAATATTCGACGCGTGATTATTACTCGCGGCGAGATGAATACGTGTCGCGTGTTATCGCGGCGTGTTCCGAGCCAGGGTGTACTTAACTCTGCTAATGGTTAATCAACGCACGTACGCGCTTCGACAAACAGAAACATCCCGAAAGAAAGTTCGCGAGGATCGCGATGCCGGATGGCATGCTCGAACCGGTTTAATAACTTCGTAATTCTACTTACGAGGCCGGATTACCAACTGATTTTCATGTTCCATATTCTTCTCTTTCTCTCTCTCTCTCTCTCTCGTGACAATTTTCGACGAAAGAGTCTCAAACTCTTTCGAGTAACTCTCGTCCACAGTTGACAATTGTTTTCCATCGTTTTTCTAACTTTTGTTTCACAAAAATCTGTAATCAGACGAAAAGTCATCTATTCTTTTTTTTCTTTTTTTGCCATCGATTTGGTAGAAACTGGAACCCGATCGACATACAGGAAGACGAAGCTCTTCGTTCGGAGGAGCTGGAATATTTGTCAAAGCTGCTGCTTCGTTCTTCTTTTTCAGCAAGGAAAATTCAAAACAGTGATTAAATCGAATTTCTGCAAGAATTTTTACGGGATTATCGGTGGAAATGTTTAGAAACAGAAATATCTCGGAATATTTATTATATCGGGTTTTGCGGATGATGGAACCACGATGTGTTTCGAAATGGAAAAGGAATATTTTCTATTCGAAGTGCTTTTTCTCTTATATATTTGATTTCGTCCTCGTGACTCCTCCACCGATGATAGAGTGCTCTCTCACTGGACGAATGAAAACAATTTTTTTCGACAACGGAGATTCGAAATACTTTAATTTTTTGATCGAATCGAACGTTATATTTTTGATACAGTCGAGAATGAATGTTATCTATGTTTGGAGTAACTTTTGTCTGACAACTGTTTCCCGCTGTTTTATTTCTAATTTTTGTTCCGACGAAAAAAACGAGACGTCATGTATTTTTTTTTTTTTTTTTTTTGTTTGCTATCGATCTGGTAGAAAATATGTTCGACAACGTGAAGTGAAGTTCTTAGTTTAACAAGTGTCGCCTTACAACAAGAAAAGAATATTTTATCGATTTTATGTAAATTCAATTCATGTATAAAATCGAGTATAGAAGTACTCGAAAATTTATAGAATTTCTTTTATCAAGAGTATATTATGTGTTATATAAAATATTTTGAAATTTCATTGACACGCTATACTAAGCTTCGATTATCGTGATTATATTGGTGAAGTCTGAAACAAATATAATATAAATTACAATATATTGTATTACAGTATATAGTTAAATATATTTCTCCGAACTTTTATCCATTTATTTTTATCTCTATTTACGAATTCTCAGATAATCGTAGTGAAAAACTCGAGCGTAAAAACGGGAGTAACGAACGATAGACAGGAGGATCGTCGAGGAAAACAATAAATCATCACTACTTTTTTCTCTCATCATGTCGTTTAATCACCTTAAAAGTGTCCACGAATAAAAATAGTTACAAATCGGGTAACTTACATCGAGTTAATGAGAGTTCGTCGCTGTGCGCCTTATCACAAGAGGAGGAGGACTTCTTCTTCTTCTTCTTCTTTTTTTTTTTTTTTACTTTTTCTTTCTTCCCAAAAAGTAACATCATCAGCGAGAATTATGCGAGATTTCGTTACGAAAATACGAGGTATGAAAAATATGAATTGGCTCTGTCTCTGTTGGTAACAACGATTCACCTTCTCACGTGACTTGAGAGAGTGTTCCAGCGTGACAGGCTCGAAAGATCGATTTTACGTTTATCAAAAGTTACGAGTGCAACATTAGAGAAATGGAATTAATGGGAAATAAAATGAAATGGAAGTAAAATTTTGTTTTCTTTTAATTATCATTTTCCTGAGGTTTCTCAGAAACTATTGTACCAATATCGAGCTCGGAATTGAACACATCTTTTTCAGCACACGTACGGCCGAAATATATCATTTTCCAATTTTTCAAACACGAAGGAAAGCCGAGACCTCATTTTCAAGTAATTCTTTCAATTTTCGGTATTTTTCTTTCTCAGTCGCATTCGTACTGATAGAATAAGAATCAACTTGACGTTTTTCTTTTTATGCTTTAAAAAAAAATTTGTTAAAAACAAATAAACGTGCAACATCATTCGCTTTTTAAAATTTTTAGAGAAAAAAGTTTGCAAAGAAGAAGGATAAGCTCGTCACACTGGACTATCCCCCCTTGAATTAAAATTAAACCACGATCCACCGATCCTG